GCTCTCCAGGTCACCCGAGGGGCGCCTCGCCCGTCCGCCCCGACGGGCTCCTCGCGTGGGCCCCGCCTCCCGCCTGGCTCCTGGGGAGGGGAGGGGTTGGAGGGCGGGCGCGGAAAGGACCCGCGGGGCGCTTCTGCTCTCCTCTTCCTCCTCCCCGCGGCCAGCCCTGCCCGACAAGGGAGAGCCCCCTCCCGAGGGGAGCACCAGCGCCTGGCCACTGCCTGGCCACCCTGGGTGGGTGGCCACCCGTCAGGGCACTGGGGGACCTCTCCCCTCCCACCCCCACCAGCTTTGGCCCCTGCTGGGTCCAGGCCCTTTCTCCGGAGTAATCCTGTGAGCTTCCAGACCCAGCCTCTACCCAGAGAGCTCTCTTCATTGCCTACCCACATTACTAGCAGGCCTTATGACATCGCTCCCGGGTCCCCCAGTGTGCCCTCACAGTCCTGGGTGGCAGGCGACCGCTCCGGAGCCACCAAGTACCTGGCTTGCATGAGTGAGGATTTAGACTGCTGTAGCCCCTAGCTGTAGCCCAGTGCGTTCACCCTTCCGTCAAACCCTCTCTCTCTCCCTCTCTCTCTCTGAAAGGCTCCTTCGGCCTCCTAGGATGACCTGGGTCCTCGGCTCCCACATTTCTGTTGCGGTGCGCCCTCCCCTGGTGCCGGACGCTCGCTTCTTCCACCAAACCAGCATCTCTCAGTGAGCAGAAGGCCCCGAGCACCGTAGGAACCAAGCATTTCCTCTGTGATGGATGATGGGAGAAGTCCAAGACCCAAGCTTATAACAGTGAACTGTGATTGTGAGTTTCAAAAACAAGGGTCTGTGTGAGTTCGGGATAAACGCGATTCATGACAGACCTGAAGAAGATTAATTTTTCTAGCTCTGAAGAACTGTTCCTGATCCCCAGGAAGCGCTTTAATTCATATCACACACACACACCCCAAATGTGGCTCCCACCAGCACCTCTCCCGGCAACCTCCAAAAGCATTGTTAGCAGGGGGCTTTTTGGATTTCTGATGTTTATGGACAGTGGCTTTAAGTAAAGTACCTTATGGAAAACCCTGGAGTGATTTGCCTTTCTTCGTTTTTCCTTTCAACTTCCCTGTGACCACTCCCTACCTGCTTTTAGCAAAGTTGCCCCTTCCGAAATCAAAAGTGATAGTTTTTGACTTTGGGGACAGCTTTCCATTTGCATGACTGCTGAACTCAATAGTATTGTGGCCATTGTTCCCAGCTGGTGCAACTTCTACATCTCTCACCCAGTCTCAAGGCCTGCTCAGAAGAACCAGGTCTGGAGTTGCTACGCTTCTAGTTGGCTCTGTGGCCAACGCACCGTCACTGGTGATGTCCAGGAGCACACATTTGCCCAAGCAACTGGAAGGTAGTTGAAGTCACCCAATATGACAACAGTTTCCACTTTAGTTGCCTCATGAACTCTTGAGACTGGCCTGATGCTTTTAAGAAATCCTCCTGGCTCAGTATCTCCACCCATAGCAATTCTCCGGGGGAATTTCTTCCTGTAATGTTTCCAGGCTGGTTTGATTCTGTGCTGTCTTTCATATCCGTCCTTCCCTGTCTTGTGTATAGAGTTTATACTGTCTTTCATATCCGTCCTTCCCTGTCTTCAGTATAGAGTTTATACCCAGGGATACCATGTCCCGTGGATCTTCCCCATTTCACCAGGTGAATCATAGCGTTGGAAGACCATCTAGTCCAACCCCCTGCCCAATGCAGGCAAGGCGAAAATAATAAATAAATAAATCCAGGACCAGCCTAAAGCATCTCTGACAGATATCCGTCCAGCCTCTTCTTGAAAGCTGCCGGTGAAGTGGAGCCCACCACCTCCCGAGGCAGCTGATTCCACCTTCGAACCACTCTGACCGTGAAAAAGTGTTTCCTCATATCCAGCTGATACTTTTCTGCATGTAATTTAAACCCCGTTGCTTGGGGTCCTCTCCTCTGCTGCCAACTGGAACAGCACCTTGCCCTCCTCCCAATGACAGCCTTTCAGATATTTAAAGAGCCATCGTGTCCCGCCCCCCAATCTCCTCTTCTCAAAACTAAACATTCCCAGGAAGGCCCTCAGCCTTTCCTCGTAGGGCTCAGTCGCCAGACCCCTGATCATCCTCGTTGCTCTCCTCTACACCCTCTCGATTTTGTCCACGTCCTTTTTGAAGTGAGGCCTCCAGAACTGCACACAGGAGGACTCCAGGTGCGGCCTGACCAAGGCAGTATGCAGGGGGGCCCTGACCTCCTGCAATTTCGATGCTCATATTTGGTTTACAGTCCACCCTAACCCCAAGATCTCTTTCGCATACACTACTCCCCAGAAACGTATCCCCCATTTGGTATTTGTGCTTGACACTTTTGTGGCCCAGATGTAATACTGTGCATTTATCTTTGTTGAATTGCATCTTGTTTGCGACTGCCCACTTCTCCAGAGGATTCAGGTCTTGTTGAATTTTACCTCTATCTTCTTGGGTGTTTGCTACTCCTCCCAATTTGGTACCATCAGCAAATTTAATGAGTAGCCCTTCTACCCCTTCATCCAGATCATTGATAAAAATATTGAAAAGTACCGGGCC